ACGGGTTTTTTGGAAAAATAAAATTTTCTTTGTTGTTCTGAGTTGTTCTAGTTATTGTTCTAGAAAATCAAAATTATGGGATACATCATTACGAAGTTATAACTGAAAATAGGTTTGGCTGCCAAAATGTCTAGTTGATTGCTGTGACCATAGTTTTTCTATTTTCAATTCCATATTACAAATATATACTTATATTACCTAAAGCAATCTGGAACAGCTACTATTTTCACTAGAACAACTCTATAAAGGACACTTTACTGTTTGAAAATTAAAGTTGTTGGAAGTTTGTCAGTAATTCTTGCGTCAGTGGTTTTAAATTACACAATAAGGATTCAAACTCATAGAACAATCTAAAATAACTCCAACTTTGCTGATTCAAATTGTTCTAGATGTGTTTTACGTTTAAACTAGGGAAAAAAAGGTTTTTCTGGTTACACGGACATTAATTTTATAAAATCATATGTTCTTAAAAATACAACAAAATGGTCTGCATTTTGTTGTATTTTTAAGAACTTTTTTAAGAATTTTTTTAACAAAAAAAATAATACATCAACAAATGAACAATCCAACTATTCGATCAGCAAACAACAATACACTATTTGTATTATACATTATGTATTAAAAACTAAATATCTCTGTGTCCCACCAACACAGAGATATATTTATATATACTATATATATATTTATATACCCTGCTCAAAAAACTTAAGGGAACACTTTTGGAAATCTGTAATTTTTTAAATAATAGTTCTAGACAAATCAAATTTGGTTTACTTCAACGGCATATATTTAACTAAAGAAAATTACAAAAACAATGTTACAACTCTTGGTTACTTCTAAGTTACACATAAAAATGTAAATTAATAAAGCAAAACAAAGTGGAAAAATGTCAAGTATGCTTTGAATCCGCGAATGAAAGCCTACTAAAGATGACAAATGAATTCAGTTGTCAATTTTCGTTGATTAGAAGCGTCATGAGGCATCTTAGTGAAGTGCAAGTTGCTCGTGCTGTCGCCCTTATTCAGCATGGCCACTATTCGACATGTTAGCAGGGATCTTCGAGTTTCCCCTTCTGTTATTCAGCGTTTATGGAATCGGTTTCGGAAGACTGGCCAACATGTTAGAAGAGCTGGACAAGGTCGAAATCGAAAAACTACTCAAAATCAAGACCGATTTTTTGTCCTTTCCTGTCTACGTACGCGTGCTGCCACAGCACGAGAACCTCCTAAATGACCTAAGACGAGCACATGGAATAGAAATTTCTGATCAAACTCTTAGAAACAGATTAAAAGAAGCGAATTTGAAACCTAGAAGACATGTCCGCGAACCACTCCTCACGCAGCATCACAAAGCAGCGCGAATGAGGTTTGCTCTGGATCATAGAGATTGGCAACTTCGTCACTGGATGCCTGTACTGTTTACAGACGAGTCCAGATTTCGTTTAACTCGTTGCGACGGTCGAGTACGTGTATATAGACGTCCTGGTGAACGCTACGCAGCCGCTACTATACAGGAAGTGGATAGATTTGGTCGGGGATCTGTTATGGTTTGGGCTGGAATCAGTATAGACAACAGAACTGATCTTGTTGTTGTTCCTGGTAGACTAAATGCCATGAATTACATCGAAAACATCTTGGAG